AATTAGTTTAAAATTTCCCCTTCACCTAATTAAATGAAATGATCGGTGTTATCATTAACGATATTTATGGTTGTAATGATATGATTGTAATATCAATGCGCTATTTATATTTCTTCTTTTTATGTACTATGCCATATTAATATTTATCATTTAAAATTTTCTGCAGAATATATTTATATCTTCACTTATTCTCATTATCATTACTTATTACATTAATTTCAATAGTGATTTAAAATAAGTAATACGAAAATTTCTTATCATAATAATAAAAGTAATTTAATTTTTTTCACTAATGTTCACCACAGAGATAGTAGTGATAATGATAAGGAAGATATCATTGAAAATAAATTGACTGAAAGAAAATATGATTTGCATATTTTATTTGTTTATTTGAAGCAGCGAAATTTAGGTTTTTCTGCTATATAAGAAAATAAATGTCAAACAAAAATTTGTTGTGAAAAGGTCACGCTAATGATGGAGTGGATTGTAATTAAAAATGAACAGATTTCTGAATTCAATTAATTGATGAATCATTCGAAAAAATTGGAAAAGTTTGATTAATGAATTGGTTAGATTTAGTTGAAAACCATATAAAAACTTTAGTTTAATTTTTTTAAAGACGCTAAATAGAAGCGATCTTTGCTTGCTTGTTTTTAATGATTTTTTCAAAACAAAAAGAAAAAATAAGAGGAAAATAATTTCTGATCAAGCAAATAATGTATATGTATCTATGCTCATAGAGAAATTTAAAACTGTAAAGGGTTGAATCATTTTGAATTTTTTAAGCCAATAAAATCAGTAAATCCATGAAGCGGCCATCTTATTACAGAAGTTTAAAAAGACTAAGTATCTGTATGTATTAAAATATGTGGTTTGAAAGGAAAGTTAACACAAAAAAGTTGCAAATGAATTTTTGGTGAATTGGAAATATCGAATCTTCAAAGATTTACTTTTTCGTTTTTTCATTTTTATTTATTAATGACATCTATAATGGTTCAATCGCTTTAATCGCTGTAATTATTAGACTCAAAATAATTACAATTAGATTCGGAATATCTATAATTAATTATGTATCGAATTGGTTGGGAATTGTTTTTACCATAATCAAATGTAAAATAATAATAGTATGCAGTAATCAGATTAGTTAACATAATTTGTAGATTATTGCAAAGTTTGACCGATTCCACATCAAGACATCACCTAGTTTTATCTCATAGAACTAAGATCAGATCATAACAAGTTCTGCATTATTTCTTTCGTTAATTCTAATTCATAAAAGTCAGTTAATTCTTTATATTATCCAAGTTTTGGAAGATGACCTTGGAACAACTAAGTGACACACTTTCAAAATCACACAGATACTATAATTCTCACCATTCCCAATGAAAGGAAGCATTCAGCTTTCGAAAACACTATGTTCCTAAAATATAGCAATACACATTTTATTCCATTAAATGTAATACAATACAAATAATATCCATACACATTCAAATTATCAAAACAAAAATAAAGTATCAATGTATCACTGAGATCATCTTTTACGAAGCACCGCAAATCCTTATAAAAAAATTTAAAAAGAATAAATTAAAAAAAAAATTACCTAACATTATAAAATGCTATATATGAATACTTCAGAGAACTAGTCTAAACGTCTAAACAAGTTTTGGTTAATTCAGACGCTTGAAAAACGTAATCCGAGAAGTGCCGAATACAAGTGTCAGGCTTCAAGCGATTTTGAATAGCGCACAATTCTTTTGCTAGATGGCAGAATATTTCAGCTAAATTCCTTAAAAAAGCTGCAGACCTGCTTGAAAAAAGATTAGAGAGATAGAAGTTTAAAAGCTGACCTTAAGATAACAACAAATCCTCAGAGAGAATTCAAATTGTATTCGAATGCCACAGTATCAGGCAAACAGTTCATGCAATTGCTTAAATAATTCGACATATTACTAATGTTGTACAAAAAATGAGTGTAAATTATTATAAAAAAGGATAAATAATATGAAAAGTCAAAGTTTTTTATATGAAAAGTGATAAAATTGTTTTACTCTTGGTTTGTAACAAAAATGACTAATAATAAAACCACCCAACATGATTGAGAGAAGCAGAAAATAAGCAAACAAATCTGGTGACCAGCCAATTTCAGGAGGCCGTGCATGACGTACAGACGAAATGAACGAATCACGTACCCAACGGCCATAACTAAACTGTCGAAACTTTTCTTCCGCTGCAATACCATATACAACCACCGGCTGATCAGCTAGATAGTATTCAGGCCATGGTCCACGATCCAATAAAAACCGAAGGTAAACTGCAAGCGCGCCCGCAGCAACTGTTGCAGAACGTGCTGAGCATATATCTGAAACTGAAAAAAGAATGCTACAGCAGGTTTTACCTGTTTAATCAGAAAAATATGGAAAGAGATTCAAATTATTACTGGATCCAAAAAAAAAAAACAATATGACAAAATTAAAAACTCCGATTTTAAATTTCCACTTCCTTAATTTTTTGGAGTTTCATAGCAGTTAAACTTTTCACGATATGATAAATAAGGAATTTTGATAACAAATAGCTGTGTTTAACAACACAACTTGGTTTTCCACTAAATTTTAATATTTAGATTTAACTAAAAAGCAAAATATTTGAGTTAAGATAACCAAATACCAGAATTTAATCCATCATTTCTGTACGAATTATTCACATCACCGATCATAGTATCTGACTTGTCATTCATAAAGCATCCTAGCGTAGGATTCTGCCAACTTAATATGGATGCAAAGAAGTGAAGCGATGAAAGCTCAACAAAACCAAACTGACCACAAGTGAAAACTGAAATGTATTAAATGCCAGAATTTTGAAAAAAAAAAAAAAAACCACAGTTACAGAACAAAATAATTCTCTTATATTTCTGAGCTGAATTGGTAAAACTATCATGGTAGCGTGCCAAAAGCTCTGGCAAATGAAGCAATAGAAACAATTAATAAAGCTATAATTTTGTTGACTTACGTAGCATTGTAGTAATATCTCTAAAACACAACTAATAAGACGTGAAATAAAGCAAAGCATTTCATAACGTAATGTTTAATAAGTGATTACTTTGTTCCATTAGTAAATCACGCTCATCGGAATTAAGCCTAGCCGTAATCCTGGGATTTCGTAACAAAACAGTTAGTTCATCGACCATATTTGTGCAATGCTCTGTGACGAAAGATGTTATTGTTTGATTTCTTGTTAAAAAGATGAAGTTAGATAAAGTGGAACTGCAGGAAGTCTGAAAATTCAACATGTATTCCAAAAAAAAGAAAAAAAAAGCAGAGATTAGTTAGATGATGGGAAGAAATGAATAGCTGAATTTTGACATCCTTAACTTCTCCGAGAATCCGATTTGTTTACATCCAAGATAGCAAAGAATTAGCGGAAAGTTTTTTTTCTTTTTTTTTTTTTTTTTTGGAAATTTTTCTATGCCTACAGCATAAATAAGAACTAAATTCAATATCCATATGCACAAGAAAATTAAATATGAATATATACCTGAAGAGCGATAGAAACATATAATATCTGGCGCGTCAACTGATACCCTGTAAAACCACGCTGGTTAAGCATCCGTTCCATACAGTCAATACTTAAATGACAATTGTAAGGCTTCACCGTCAAGTTAGAATTTGCCAAAAGTAGCTCAGTGAAGCACCTGAAAAAGATGTCAAAAATCAAAGAACACTCCAGTATATGAAAGTTGACAAACCATTATCACAATTGTGAATACCTTAGTGATGAGCAAAACTTAACAAAAAATAACCACCCAACAACGTTATTCCTCGGAAATTTCAATGTAAGATTCTAACTGTATCCGCACTGGATAGAAAAAAGTGCTGATATCGCTATAAACTATCAAAATTTTCTGATTTCGTTTTCAGAATCCAGGCCAAGAACCAGAAAAGGATTTTCGTAAATTAAAAAAATATTCAAAAGGAAAAAAATAGACCTGCTACTTTGTTTTTCTGCGAGCAGAATAGGAGGAGGAAAAATCTTATCACTTTTGCTAGTTTTCAGTTGTTTCTCTTTCCATCTAAATCTTTCATTGGTACGCTGCGGTATAAAATTCATTTTATATGGTCGGTGAAGGAGGAACTGATACTAAAGAAAAAAATACTGCAATTTTTATCACAGATTACATTTCAGAAATAAGTATGTAATGCACGACACGCACAACATGTATATAATTAAGATTAATGGAATGTTATCTTTTACCACATTACGCTTACGTTGACTTTATGATCGAATGATCTGCTTACTCAGCATTTAATGGCTAGTTGATCAAACATATAATTATTTAGAGAACAATGAAGACATAGCATAAAAGTAAAAAGTGTATCCTATTGAATACGTGAGAAAAATATCAAATTATTAGAAACAAAGAAAAGTTTAAAACCTCATTAAAATATTCCCTATCTCGACTGGCAACAAAAGGTAAAGATTTGTTTGCAATCATACTAGCCATTAAACTCAGATTACGTATTTCATCCATAATTTCCGAATCCACACCACGACCGTCCACATGTTCCTGTATACTTTTTAGATGACCTGCAATTTAGATAGCACTAAAGAAGCCCTAAAACTAAATTCTAAAGCAACCTTATGAAATGACTTCTCGAGAGTAGCAGGAGATCCCTATCCTCAGACCTCTTCATTTGCAAAATTATCTACAAAATTATCTAATGCTCCCCTCCCAGTCTTCAGCACATCTCAGTAGTAACTTATAACAAAAGTTAACCTTCAATAATTCGTAAACCAAATAAACCATCAGCGTTGAGATCCTTGTAGCAACTATTGTAATATTGCTCAAGCCCATATAAAGCATTCAGAACTAAAGCAATTAGTCGAGCGCTATCCCAACTCCACTGCGTTGACACCATTATCAATTTCCGTCTTTTACTTCAACCACTTATAAGCATAGGCAATCGACCCATAATTATATCTGAGTTGGAAACTAGCTCACAGTCCTATGCTATACAATCAATGTTGTATGTTAACTGCAGCGATTTCGAAGACAACTGTAAAAACAAGGTATTACAAACATACCAAGTACCAAACACTGACACGCCTTTATCGATGAAAGAACTAAAATAAACAAAAGCGAAAGATCTAATGTCGGAGAAAATTTATCTGAAAAAAAATTTACCACAACTGCACCTGAATCTTCAAGTAGATATAAATGAAGTGTTACCACATTCGTTGGATAAGGAAAATTCCCAGTAAAACCGGAAGAAAAAGATACAGTATACTTTTTATTAAGAACGTTAATAAAACAAAACGAAAACAAACATTCGTTACAATACTTCTTGTGCATTTGAAGTTCTCACAAAGACCAATTGAAAAAATGTAAGACGAATCTTACAAAAAATGAAGTTAGGCCTGATTTGTCTTCCCCTTGTTGAATTTGAAATGACTCCCCTGAGAGAGGAAAATAAGAATGAAAATCATATGTATGAACTGAAACATCAAATAGCAACCAGCGAATAACCAAATGCTGATAAATTATCAATAGCAATAACCATGCACAACGATAACGAGAGACTGCAATTTCAATGTTGCATTTCGCTACTTTCTTCAGCTCCACCAACCCACAGTACATTGTTGCACCTGAATTGAATGATACTTTCTGAACATAAAAAGCATTAATTCATACCATCACAATAAGGATATTTCCAAATTGGGCAAATACCACTACGCAGACACAGAAAATTAAGTCACTGTATATATTAATTTTAAGCCGCGCACTTCCCGAATGAAATAGTTCTCCCAAAAATTTATTTAAGAAATATCTATTCCTGACAAAATTTGTCAGGAATAGATATTTCTACAACGATGATAATACATATCTAAAAAAATGAACCTAATTAAAACTTCTCCAACATCACCAGTATGTCGACCATCTATGTATTCTTCAGCGTTGGCTAGTTGCAAGTTCATGTAACCATCAACAGAAACAAGGTACCCTGAAATTATCCTTCTTGCTAATCTTGTTACATTGTTCCGCAATAAAAGTTGTACATTCCTTAATTTATTCAAGAATCAAACTGATATCATATTAAGCCTATCTACTGCCGTCTTCTTTAGGGTATTAAAACACTGCAATTAAACCTATAATTTAATTTTGTCTCATACATCACACATCATGTCAAACCAGGACATTAGTTAATAATAAGAAACTGAACGCAGTCAATGAGAAACATTCACTTACCTTTATATTCCATACCCCATTTCAGTTTGCAAACAACTGGTTTGCCGGTTAGTCCATTCAAGAATGGCTTTGGATTAACTGGTTGTAGTGTCGTCATCGTCAATACTGTACCTGCAGAAATTACTAGTACCAGCAGCACTTCATTTAAATGTGTCGCATCTATAGCTCATTAGAGAATCTTGTGTTGGAATCCAACAAGATCCCACGTAGGATCTATAAGTTGGCAGACTATTCCTTTCGCATATTTTCCGTTCCTTGCAACGGTTTTCCCTGCATTCTCTCCCCATGAAATTTCATCGAATCTTTTATGCTAACATATTGCACTGCACCCATCGCTGCAGAACTTACTATCCTTTTCTGCACAATTATTGGATTTGGAACTCAAAACCTCTGCATATTTTCTCATCCTATGATTATCCGATTTTCTCCTGTCATAAAAATATTCCTAAACTCTTTTCAACTAATATTCCTAACATCTTTTTCATGGATTACATTTGTAAATTTTGAAAGAAAAGTTTTCAAACCTCCATCTATACTTCCCATTATATTTTCCAAGTTATGTTCTTATTATATTTTCGTTTATATGCAATATTGTATATTTTTAAAATTGATAACTTTCGCTGATTTGTTCAATAGGCAGGTATTTGAGCATTAGTAGTATGACACTGTACAAATTGCTAATATCAACTGCAGTACCACCACTAATGAATTCTTATGGTAAGCCACAAAAGCAGTAATAATTATGGTTAAGTTAAAAGCAAACAAATAAAAATGGAATTGAAAGCTATCAAACATAAAACCAGAAAAACTGGTGATATTCTGGTTGCACGCAACGATGAGTGAAACTACATATCCCAAGGCGATAGAAATTTGCATATTTTATCTAATAATTCCAATCTTACCTAATTTTCGAAATAAATGACAAAAAATAATGTGGTAACTTTATTATAGTTACTTTATCTAATTTTTATAATGTAATAGAACGTCCGTCAATGTAGTATTGATTTTAATAATTAACTTATTTCAAAAGTTAAACATTATTGACGATACTGAATGTGAAAACCAGTTGAATAAATCTCGATTATAGATATTACGTTATGACACCACTCATCATATAATGTTATGAATATAAAATTTGGAAATCTATGATAGAATAAATCGTGATAAACTTTAATGAACACAATAAAAATTGAGAAATGGTAACGCATGTGAAAGACAATGAAATAAAAATTTTGTTTAAATTTTCGTCAATTTATTAAGTGAAATTCAAAAGGTTTGTACTCTACGAAATTAATAATAAATTTGCTTTTTACAAAACTATTAATATTGGCACTTGTAGCAAGTTGTATAAACTGTGTTTATGATAGCTTAGTAATACAAAAAAATGTACGTTTACGACAAATTAATAATGCATAAATGCGCACTTTCATAAATTTTGAAAATATTTTCTACTTAAATAGTGCATGTATTTTCTGGGTTTTGATTTTTTTTTTTTTTTTGCTTATGACAAATTAGCAATGCGAAAATGTATATTTGCTATCATTTTACGTTGTATGTTTGTTTTGAATAAGTTATCACGGACTTTTTGTTTTAGGTAGTGAAATGTGCATTTAAAACTAAAAATAAAAAATGAATACAAAAGTTTCAGTTATGTCAGATGGAGTCACCGGAAATGTTTGATTCAAAATACCGCATTTAAAAAATATCTTCTTCACAAGATTGGTCACGGCCTGTGATAAACTGCAAATAATTGGAAGCAATAAATGAATTTGCTGACTATAATGAAATAAAAACAAGTCGAAAAATGATTTCAACTCATCATAAAGAACGATTTATAAAATAGATACAATGACCAATATAGAATTGCAATTTCATTTTTGAATTGTGATAGTGATAAAAGAAAATGATGAAATAAATCAAATAAAAAACTAAATATTCATAGGGATAGAAAATAAATAAATTAATAAGTAAATAAGAAGGACTACAAGAGCAAAAAAAGAGAAATGAAAATTCTGTATTTCTATTGTCGCGAAAAAAAAGCCGCTGAAGCTATAAATTCTACTACATTAAATTACTATATTACAAATTTTAAATTAAGGAAATGCATTAGACATTCAAATCAAATATATTTTTAATGTATTATGAAGACAGCATTGAAATTTCATAAGACAACTGTAAGGCTTTCATCAATATGGAAAAGTTACGGAGAAATAACTGATACAAATTTTATGCTTGTAGAAGTTCCATGTGGAACAGAGTACGGCTGGGAACAACAAATATTACATCTTCCCAGTCGACATTATTGATGTATTTTCTCAACGTTAGCAAAAACTTGTGTTTAAATATGTTTCGTGCAATGACTAGTTTTTAGAATCAAAATATTTCAATTAATAGATGAGAATAAGTGCTCATAATGCATATTTTTCCAATATGTAATGTTGTAGGGAATTAATCAGTACAACAAAATGTGATATATGAAAAGATATATTTAAGATTAGAGATTTATTAAAATTCAAAAATCTAATCACAGGGAAATTTTTATATTTTATTAGAACTTTATATTTCTAACGAATGGTTATTATATCACACTTTAAATGTTGCCAAAAACATGCGATTTCAGAAGAAAAATAATGTATTAATGGATTTGCTTAATAATATAAAGATTCTAAATTCTCACAATTTGTAAAAGATTGGTAGTATCCATGTCACATTATATATATTGCTGTTTCGCTTTCATTGATACCGCCCTTGTAAATTTATTAATATTCAAAATAAATTTTATATGTTAATGAAGTCGGAAAATGTATTTAGTCGTGTAACAGTGTTAACAAAGTTAAGTTGGATAAACAATTTTAAATGATAATGGGCAGAAAGAATAACTATGCAGATACGTTTCGATCCACACATAAACAATTCAGATTAACTGTGTAATTCTAATTCAATTAAGAGTCAAAATGCAACAGCGATTGATAGGTCGTAAAATTGTATTGACATGTTCGGTCAGCAAAACATGGATCACAGGAGTTAAAAGGAGTATAGATCAACAGAGTCAAGTCAGTTTGTTTGCATAGGTTTTATCCGACAATTTTCCAATGGATTCGATTCGACAATATTCGACAAATCCACAAATCAAAAGGAATAACAATTCCATAGAGAATCGATATGAAAGTAGGAAAATTTAATGAGCATTCAATCTTGCTTTTCTTAATCTTTATTGCTTATTCATTCTTTTTTTTTTTTTTTATAAGCGCGATGTTTTACAATAACAGTAAATTTATTGTTGACGTTGCGGAATTACAGCAGAAATACAAAATTATATTATTAAAACTTTCCCCGAGAATAACAACTATTTATTTATTAATAAATTAAAATTGAAACAAATAACGAATTAAGCAAATGATCATAATCATATCAAATGATCTTTATTTGCCGTATTGATATTTAGCAAGTGCTATTAGTACAAGATGTGATGCATTCAGTAATAGGTAGTAGGTAACATGGAGTTATAAATTACAACAAACATTTTTACCAGCATTATTTAAATTTTTAAAAATATCATTTAATTGATTACTTTTTATTTTCTCTTCATTTAAGCGATATTCACAATGTTATTTGCAGCTGTACATATGGCTGCTGTGTTCAAATCATTTCTCATTGTTTTTGTGCGTAATCCCATTGTATTTGTTGACAAACTTATTGCATTTTGTTTCATCAACAAATATCGATTGAAATATACGAATGCCAAACTAAATATCATAAAAGCGATTATTGGCTATCTTGCTAGAAAAGCTTACTGTCTTTGGGAAACATTCATTATAAGGTTTTAAGCGATCCAAGAATAAGTCTCAGTTTGATAGTTATGAAAAACTTAATCAGCAGTATAGAATTTGATATTTAACGTCACATAGTTTCAACTTTCAACCTTATTAAAATCATTTACATTTGATATTCGTTTGCCGTTTTAAATAGTGCTTACCCATCTAATGTGAGTATTGCAAGCCACGTGTACGTGATTTTGGTGAAACGCGACATAGGTAAATTAAAACGGAAAATAACTACAAAAAATACATGTATGATAGTACTGGTGCAAGTCTGAAATATGTTTTATTAAACAACACTAAACGTTATGCAGTACATTTACTATTTATATACGCATAATTAACGTTAGATGAGAAATGTACCGTATAGGTTCTTTTATGATTTCCAGTGATTTTGATGCTTTCCAAAAGCTTCCATAAACAGTCATAGTGGAAATCATTTATATTTAATATCTAGAAGACAATTTATTTTTACCTCTTTAAAAAATATGATTTCTCTCTTCATCCTTCTTTGCATTCCATTAGCTCCTTCACTATTTTTACCCTAAAATATGTTTAATACAAATTAGGTAACAGTGTTCGTACTAATAGTAAAATTTTATTTCAAAAAAAAAAAAATCTCATTTCAAATCCGATACACACAAATTACGCAACCGCATAGAGCTAATGAAATGTTTAATCATTGAACGGATCAATTTTCGAAATATCGAAATAAATGCATAGCTTACGGTTATAAAATCGAAACATACTTTGAAATAAGTGATGATGCGATAAAAAGCAATGGCATCGATAATAACAGTGATAACGATGACACCATCTGACAGGAACATAGCAATATAAGCGAAGAAAGGATGATTACATGGTCCATAAAGGTTTGACCATGAATGAATATAAGCTTCGACATAAAGCAGGCATTCGACTATGAGTTAAAATTTTCGAATTTAGATAAAGAGATGAAGAAGGAAGATAATCTAAGTGTTGTTGTATCTTATTTTAAAATGCTGAAAGCGAATACCGTTGTAATAAAGCAGAGTGATTAGCATACTAAATGACCATAGAGATATGACTGTTATCCAAGCATTTTTGGGATTAAAAATGCGATGATATTTCATCGGATATGAAATTGCCCAAAGTCGATTGATTGCCAAAACGAAATGCATCCAAATGGCCGCATACAGTGTTGAATTGGAAATGGGAGATGCTATTCGAATGAAAATGTGCCATGGAAATGATATGAATCCCAAGTTTCTGATAAATTTCATATAGTTTTTGATGTAAGAATTAAAAAGGACTAAGAAGAATCGAAAGGTAGGAGAAGGAAGAATGAATTATACTAAGTTTGAAAAATGTATTGAATCAATTTTCAACAAACTATTAAATCTTATCAAGATATCAGTAATTATTTATCAATGATAATTAAGGAATATCCAGTAAGAACTGAATGAACTTTCAAAAGAAAGCTTTTTGATTAATACTTGTTGACCTAAAAAAGTACAACCAATATGACCGATAAATTGTCTTTTGAGAGGTAAGTTATTTTTTTATGGGTAAATGAGAATGCGCAAGTGACTTACACAATAATTCTAATAATTGTCCAAAGGAGTAACGCACTGAGAGTTTGTATATGAAATGAGATGTAAGCAGTGAATAGAATCCCAAATGCGTTACGATACCTCGGTGATTTATTAATGATATAAAGGGTTATCCCATATGCAAATAATCCAAGCAATCCAAGCTGAAAAGGAAGAACCTGGCATTAAGCTATGTCGCACAAGTAAGTATCTATAAAGTACTCAAAATAAATCTTAGATGGAATGGAAGCGAATAAAAAGTAAAACGATTTATTTCTCGCAAAATAATTTTAAAGATTTCAAATGTAATTTATAGTTAGAAAATATTGCTACTCATAATTTAATCCATTCAAAATTTTTAATTTTTTTGCTGAATATCAATGAGTATTTAAATTATACCGGTATAGCGAATGCATAGGTAATAACATTGGCATCAAGCTGTGTCCGATTTCCCATTCTTCTTCATCAGATTTGAGAGTAAAGTGCAATTCTAATCTATTGTGCTGTCATTTAAAATCAAGTAGAATTACATTTTCTCAAATTCAGTGATGCATTCAGTTAAATAACATGCAAAAGTGAGATCAACCTGAATTTGACATAGAAACATTCTGAAAAGAAGAATGTTATTGACATGGCAATCTATTTATTATGGAAGCCATTTTAGCCTTATTGAAATTGCAAGGAATTATGTCTATGAGTCAAACAGTTGTATAACAAAAAAAAAAAATTATAAAAAAAGTGATACATCTGGGAAAAAATTAGAGCAGTGACATGTGAAGGCAAAATTATTTTCTGATTAGTTCCAAAACTGTGTGTAAAATGAATATTTGTCTCAGATTGAAGATAACTGAATTATTAAAATAAAAAATCAAATTAAGCTGCTAAATCCGTTTGGAGCGATATTTTCGTTATTCTTGGAAATATTATTTTCAATAAAAGTTCGAGTCGAATGAACAACTTAAATTCTTATAGTGGCAGATTTGATTAAAAAACAGTCGAATAACAAAAATGGCATTTTAAACAAAAATTTGAACTTCTAGCTGCCATTAAAATAATGTTTTCGAATACTTTGTTGATCAAGGGAACAAAAAAAAATTACTATTGCCTCAAAATGCTTATATAATTTCAAATACTTATGCAAATACATTGTGAAATTCAATACAAATATATTGATATTTGTGAACACTTCCCTGGTCTCTTTATCTTACTTTTTCAGATAGTGATCGATTATTATGCAGTATTAATTCCTATTTTCAAGACAAAAACAAATGAAGAATCCGCCTACTTCACAATTCTTCCAGTAATTTTTTTCGATAATTATACATGAGCAATTTATTGATAATTATAGACAATATATGAGTAATCACATATGAGCACTATGAGCACTTAAACATGATTAACCAATTAACTATAAATGCACATTTTCATGAATAATAAAATATGCATTTGCGCGATCATTTGAGCTGTTTTTACATGGCATGAATATGACTATAAACATTTCTAGTTTATTGCGTTCTATATCTTCGTTTCTTAAAAAAGATGGTGAAATAATCATTAACTAGCCACAAATGTGTCAGAAAAACCGAATATAATCATATATAGAAATAAAATTGTATAAAACTGAAAGGACTAAAGATTGTCTTAATTGAATATTTCTTAGACAAATATGAAACTGTGTTTCAAAATTATATCTCATTTAAGCAATCCATTTATACAACAGCCACCTCATCCAGTTGTAACTGAGCTTATCTACATTGTCTAGAAACTTTCATTTATTTTTCAATTTTCAAAAAACTTCCGACTGTTAACAAAGAGTATGTGCACTGCTTAATATGTTGAAAATTGTTTTTTTGTTCTAAACCATATCTGCTCGCAATGTTGAAATGTTGTAAACGTTTTCTAATCTAACGGTTACACTTATGAGCAATTGATATCATCTCTGAAAGAGCAAAGATCATCTGATAGTGACAATTCTTTACTCACTGTAATCATGCGTTTTTGTCGTAAGTTTGTTAAGCATTTAAACCTTTTGTCTGTTTTTTAGTACTGGCAAGCTTCGTCTTAATTAGTCTTGCTAACTATTCACTTCTCTTTATTTATATTCTTCATTTGTTTTTCGTGTTTATTTATTGCTCCATCCTATACTGATACACAACGTCTCTATGAAATTATCAGTGCATTGTTAATATAAATTAATACTTTGTGTAAAGTACTTGTTAGTGAATAAAATTTTAGATTCCAAACCACAGTCAAAGAAAACTGCCTTAAAAATCTCTATAAGTTTTGGACAGACTGTCTAAAAAGTCAACAAGTGTACATTTGCGCACTATCAATTTGTTACTCATTTATTATATCAAAATTGTTTCTGCTAATACCTCTCTTACACTGCAAATTTAAATCATTGTAAAATGGTGTTTAAGACGATTTAAAATTTTGACATTATTACGACTGAAATTGAATTTGCTGACTGTTTAAGTGAAGTATAAGATGGCCAGATTTCATTTGCTTATGGCTTTGAGAGTCTCTTCCAAATTGAGTTTACGTGCAGTTCAGTTCTCACTAATTGCTCAACATTCCTTAACTAAACGGTGAAAAAGATATCAAAAGCGTTCAGACCATTCCTTCAAAATGAAAGTTTCTCTGTGGGAAGAGCGAACGGCCATCTGAACTGAGAAAGGGACTGTGAATGTGATATATTGGTTCATGCACTATTTTCAAAGCTTTCGAAGTTCCTTGTGGTAGCAAAAATTTGCATATGATTGGGTCTGCTCTGCTTGACTTCATTAATCTACCACCTATTCTCGATGTTTTAAAATTTCTGTTGAAATTTGCTATTTGCAGGACGAGAAGCTACTCTTCTGAATCCGTAGATTGTTCTCATGGAACAAATTTTTAGATTTCTATGATGAGAATCCTAGGCAGATGTATTTTTAATATGTTGCCAAAAATATTGGAGAAGAATCTATGGTCAGCAATTGCTGGTTTGAATTTTAACTTAGAAGTTATCTCATTGTAGCAATTTCAAAAAAATTAAAAATTCGAGGAGGTTTTGTTCCTCGCCTGTTGCTACGGGCCTTGTGGTAATATCTCTTTTGAACTAGTCACACTCATTACACCTGAAGCTGATTAGTTAAGCCAAACAAGTTGAACGACGATGGCGAAATCCTTAGTTATAGCTTTCTTTAAAGTATCTTTTTCATAAATGAACGGCTTTACAAGGCTAAACGAGTTTCATAATGCTTGAATTTAAAATCGGAGTTGTCATTCTTCCAGAAGAACGATTATTATTCTAATGAGCCCAAAATCTTTTCCATTAAGATCTGTCTCAATGGGAGATCCTTGCGGACGGAATGTGTTATAGTCGGTATAGCTCGCAACCTAGGTTTTTTAAAAAATAAATAAAAAAATAAAAAAAACGGAAGTTTAAAAATCTTTTTCCATGATAAGGGGATGTCCATGGGGAAGACTTTACGTTAAAAATAATGAATACGTGAATTTGCTTATTTTAAGTGTTCTGTCACAAAAACAAAACAAAACAAAACAAAAAAAAAAAGAGAAACAAAAACAAAATCAAATAAACCAGAATTTATTATGTATTGGAAGTTTTGTTTCCAAATTATTCCATAAATTTTCTTTAATTTTATTTATATTACTTTCTTACTTTTTCCCAAAATTTCATTGATAAAGCTATTGGTACCAATCAGTTTGACATTAAGCCAAATTTAAATAAAATTTGGTGAAATAATTTGTAATGTAAATTGTCGAGGCTTTGTGAGAGGTTTCGGGGAACTGCCAAGCCTTTATCAATGGTATCAGAACAAGGATGAATCCTGTGAAATTTTTTAGTAAAGAACTGTAGCGAGAGGCATGTCAAAAGAAGTGAGGATGGTCAAACATGTGACAATTTTTGGAAAAGTTAGAAAAAGTGCTGAAGCTTGAGAGACACACACATACGAGAAGGCGTGGCACAATTCTCATGGAGTTCTGCCTCATCTAATTAATGCCTTTTTTTTTTCATTCCGACTGTCCGGAATTTGTCTTTATCGGAATGTTGACGAAGTCCGGTCAAATGATTTGTTTTATAAGTGACTGGTTTTCAGTTAGAGTTCCTGGAATAATATTGCGATAGTGGGAATAAAATTTGTTGAAATTTAATGTTTGATTTATAAGCAAAGTACCGGAAAGCTCTTTGATTTGAAGTAAAAAACCAAGAACATTGTGGAAAAAATTTTTCATGTGCTGTTATACTTTCATTTGATCAATTTTCGGCGATCCGGAATTCTTTTTATCAGGATTGTTTTTTACTTTTTTTAATAAAATTTTCCTAACGATAGTCGTTGAGACTCTGTGATAGCCCTGCTGTATTTCATAATAGTTTAATGGTTAGATCAGAGAGAAATTGCATTTGTCGGCAGAGGATTTATAGTAATATTATGGTTAAAAATTCATAGCTAAATGTGAGAAAAGTAATGTGAATATCTTACATTCCTTAATTATTAATTTGCATCGTGAAAATGGCGTTTTCAATAATATTTAAGTAATAAGTGTTCACCAATCAATACTAAATTAAAGATAAAACTGATTTCAAATTTGCTATAAAATCAAGATATTAGGATGGATTTGGATATATGGCTCAAAAACTCTAAGTGTTGTTCGAGGAATCAGGAATCAACGGTTAATGATAATTATAAAGATGCGAAAATGTTGGAAAAAGAGATCCAAACGGAGGCGGAATTCGTTTTCCGGAATGGTGCATTGAAATTAATTGCTGAATGTGTAAAGGAATATGGAATTTCAGAAACATATAGGTATTGTCCTTTAAATTCAGATATACCACATGTCATTGAATAATTTATATTTGCTACTCAAACAAGAGTACTACAAGAATGACTTTTTATCATCTTGAATAATTTCATTATATTAGTAAGGTATTACCCAAAAATCTAATATACAATATTTTTCTGACCATGCTATTACTATATATGGATATAGTTGGGTGTGCATAATCTCCTTAGTAAAGGTCTGATTGTGCAGGCTTTTGGACTCTTTAACTTTAATTAGGTCAATTTTTTGGTGGTTAAATGGCATTAAATTTTTAAACAGTATAGTGTAGGGAGAGCCGTGAGAGTTTTGCTGTAGATAACAAATTATTCCGTCGTCATTTTACTTTGAAATAATGATAAATTGAATCGATAGGTGCTGCTGTAAACATGTACTTATGACTACATACACGTTCTCTTATTTTATGACTATGAAAAAACACATTTTCCTTAATAACGTGGCAACATTTAACAATATTCAATTTCAAAGCAATATTTTATCTTGCTTTAATCTGGATTATTTTGTTATGCTTCCATTATTGGAATCTTGTAAATTTGCTGATTCATTACATTGGTTGGTTACTTCAATTGCTATATTAATTTTCTAGGTCTACTTTTTGAGGAGCAAATTATCTCATCACCATTCAGGGGAAATCATTGAATTTCAGAATACCGAAACCGTTATTAGATATTGAATGCCTAAAAGATCAAGTGCTGCAGAACTCAGCTTCGACATTAGAAATACAAACGCTGCGAGATTTAAGGTCAGGCAAAGTTACTGGTTATATCGAAGTATTGAATGATAAAAATGCTGAAACAGATGATGCAAAAACATCGATGTCACTCACCAGGTTAGATATATTTGCATACGTATTTGCACATGCATGTGCTTGAGTTGGTTTCACGGCCCGAGATCATAAAGTTTTTTCCTTTTTATTCATTTTGTGATAAAGCAAATGCATAAAGAAAGCTTGACAAACAAGTATTTTTTTAATTCCATGGCTTGTAATATTTTCAAAATGCAACTGAAATTGAAGAAATAATTACTAATGATACTAAACAGTGTATATGGAGGGGGAATTGAATTTAGCAAGGAGTAGAGAAGTAAGAAGAGGGAGAAAAAACAATTGTGTTTGTGAACTTGAATATTATTGGAATGATCTTTAGGTCTCCAGATCCAAAAGGTGTTTCAAATTTTATGGGTTCTGCAAGCAACATTCCTTTTATGCCCGGCAAGCATTTTATTTTTAAATGTTCACTATTGCAACGACAGAATTAAGTTCAGAAACTATAAAGTGATTCAAAAAAAGTGCAAATGTGTTTTACTTATGAATTATTTTTCTTCTTCAAGGTTGTGGGGCCGAAATTTTTATTTTGTTTCTTGTTTTAATTTTTAATAGCTCTTTATCATGTTGATATGCATATGGATTCCTTAATTTATTTGCCATCCATTGGTCATTTCTTCAAAATCTTATTAAATGTTCTATTCAGGTGGTTTCGATGCGGAAATCGAGAATGTACTTCGTTTGAATGATATTGATATATCGACAGACGAAAACTTTGAAGAAGAAGCATATCTGCGTCTCAATGGGAAGCTTTACAGACTTTCTGGAATATTATTGTCATTTTGAAACAATTGTGCTCCAGTTGAAAATCACTTTTTTCTGCTCTGGACATAATTTTTTGTCGAGTCTTTTCCACCTCGAGAAACAAAATCTTAATTTATTCCTGGGCTTCAGCTTTAAAACCAGTCGAAATCCAGAAGCATGAATTTATGAGACTTCCAGTTGTGATTTTGTAAAGAAAAGGACGGGTCAGGGCGCGACTTTTTTTACCTGCCAACATTGTGGATGTTGAAGACATTAGATCATAAATAATGTGGAGCTGTAGGAATTACAGAATCCTTTTCACTTTTGAAACATTTAAATGTTTCAAACTTATCTTCTTCATCTTGCAGAATGCTCCACATCTGAACTACTCTTTTGCATACCTGGAATAAATGTTAATGGTCTCACTGAAAGTGACATTCACGAAATTCCTCAAAATAGTGTTCATTGCGCTGATGATAATTTGGCTGATTTGCTGGAATCTGTCAACATCAGTAATCCAACATGCTCTTCGAGAACACTTGAAGATGACTCTGAAGGTGCTGAGGAGTCACATAATGAGTCGGAAATTGGTAAAGAAGTGGATAAAGAATTCGAGGCAAGAATTTTGAATTTTCATTGAATATTGGGCAAAAAAAACGCACTTGCTATACATCGGCACCAGTTTCATAACTCCAAATTGCAAAATGCCAAAAATTACTATAAAGTTTTTTTTTTTTTTTTGGATTCCTGAGCAACCTTTTGGTACAATTCAACACAATTTTCATTTTGATTTCTGATAGCACATAAAAATCAAAAATTTGAAATCAGTGCACGCCATCGTAGTTGATAATTACTTTGCGCTGTTTGGGAGTATTTATTTCTATACCATGCCAAAAGAAAATTTTTATTTCTATACCATATTAAAAGAAAACTTTTTTTTTCCCATCACTTTTACTTTTAGGAAGAAGGATATTGGAAATATTTTAAAAACTTGAGATATTTTGAAAATGTAGTTTAGATCAAATCGTTGGGAATAAAGAATTTAGGGTTCTCTTTAATAACGTCAAAATACTGTTAATTAACTGGAGGAATTCGTATTTTATAATTTTAGTTTTAAAAATTTTGGACGATGCATAGTTGTTGGTTTATTAGCAATTTAGTTTTTTAGCAACTGGTTATCACATTGGACGAGGTTGCACCTTCATCAAGTGGAAAAGATGAGTTACAAGTACAAAATAGAGAATATTCATATGCTCATGTTTTGAATACATCAAAGAATGTTGACGAGTACGAAGTATTGAAAAGTAATATGGCAAGAAAGGTAAAAATCATAAGTCATATCATTGTTTACTTCGAAAGCAGTCTAGTTTTAATTGGTTTCCCCAACAGGCGGTCGTAATAAATATCTAATTACTGGATAGATTAAATAAGTGTGTGGTGATACAACTGGTTTCATGATTCCCTTTCAACAAATCTATATATGATCGTGCTTATCGTTTATACTTAAGGTATAGATATAACAATATGTTTTAAGGTAATTAAAATTTTTATTTCAAATTTAGGTTCTGATTTTTATGAAAATTTCACAATTTGTAAGAGTTTTTGTATATTAAACAAGAAAATAAATTCTAGTACTAACAAATTTAATTTAAATGTTAAGACTACTAAAAATAGCAATTTATTAAAAAATTATGTATTTTTTCTACTTAATTATTTTATATGCATTGCAGTGGAGCTGGTCATATGTGGAGCGAAATTAATAAAACCAACTAATCATTGATGTTTAATAGTTTTATAAAGTGTTAAATGTTTCTCAATCTACTGTCTATTGTTGCTAACAAATTGTATATTTTAGTATCCGTTTGAACTGGATCCATTTCAACAACAAGCAGTTGTCTGTTTAGATCGTGGAGATTCAGTATTTGTTGCCGCTCATACTTCGGCTGGCAAAACCGTTGTTGCTGAGTACGCTGTTGCTTTGTGTAATTTACATAAAACCAGGTAAAACTAATTTTTAAATATATAAGCAATTTTAATATAAAAAAGTGGGACTAGGTTTTATTGCTCAATTTCTCTTACAACATTATAAATGCTTAAGTTATAGTCATGATAGTTCCCTGATCATAAAGACTGAGTTACTAGCAATGTGACAAAATTTAAAAAAAAAAAAATGATTTAACAAGAGAAAACTTAAAACGAAACAAAAAAACAAAAGAAAAACTTAAGTGATTTAATTGGTTGTGGGCATCGCGACTTCATTTGAGGAAGTTATAAGCGGAAGGTCTGATGAATAGTCATTCTATAACAAGCTCAAAACACATATGATTTATTGTAGCAGTCAGTAGAAGTAGTCTGTTAAAGAAGTAGTTGAAATTATTATTCATATTTCTTAATAATGGAAATTTCAATTTTACCCTTCTGTAGAGCAATATATACATCGCCGATAAAAGCGCTTTCAAATCAGAAATTTCGCGAATTTAAGCTCATTTTTCAAGATGTTGGTCTCATAACAGGTGATATACAATTGCACCCAGAAGCTTTCTGTCTTATAATGACAACAGAGGTTTTAAGGTCAGTTTTGGTTTTGTTGAATAATTGCTAAAATAATCGTATCATTCTGGGAATTGTTTTATGTAGAAATCTGTGTAGCTCTATGTAGAAATTTTTTTTGTAGTTCTGTGACCGAAACTTTTAAGAATTAAGGTCGATCATTAACGTATTTTTGTTAGTCTTTAAGATAGAATGTTTGAAGAAATATTTTGATGTCTTTACTGTAGTTCTTCGTGTACCATTACTTGTAATTGTGGTTGTTTTCCAGATCTATGCTTTATAATGGATCGGAAGTTATTCGCGAATTAGAATGGGTCATATTTGATGAAGTACACTATATCAATGATGCAGAGGTTTGTTCCGATGCCTTAAAAATAATTTCACTGACGCAGAATATGAGATTACATTATATCATCTCTAGAGAAATAAAAATGAGAATCATAAGTGTTATGAATATTAATGCAGTAACTGCACTGATTACAATAAGTAAAGCTATTTACGATACTTTTCCCGAGTGTACATTCATGCTAAGGTTATCAAAATATTTCTTTGAATACATTTGTGCATTAGGCTATCTTTGATAGAGATAATTTAAAGTTTTTTAAACATTAATCTTGTGCTTTGTATTAGCAGTATTCAGTTGTTTTCACTATCTCACTGCAATAAGGCGTATGGAGTAAATGTAACTGGAACACTTCAAATAATTTTTTGCGATATTTTTTAGCGTGGACATGTTTGGGAGGAAGTGCTGATTATGTTACCTGCTCATGCTAAAATTGTTATGTTAAGTGCTACAGTGCCTAATTGTGTTGAATTCGCTGATTGGGTTGGGTAAGTATTTGCTTTTTTTAATTTCAAATTCTTGTTACATTAATATTCAGATCTCTTCTTACTCGTCTTAATTTAGTTTCTTTATTAGTGGAAGAAAAAATCAAATTCAGTCTAATCGAGCAGTTTTGAGTCAGTCGAAAAATAGTGCGTGTCGCAGTCTCATTTTCGTTTTGTCACCTGACTTGAAAGTTTCAGGCGCATTAAAAAGAAGCGAATTTATGTAATTATGACTGCGCGACGTCCTGTTCCACTAGAACACTTTTTATATACTGGGCAAGATGGTAAAACTAAAAAGGATATGTTTAAAATTATCGACAGCAGTGGGCAATTTGTTCAAAAAGGGTATCAACTTGACAATGAATTCATTTCATAAATATATTTTGTATTAAGTATTATCTATGCTCTTGTTGAATCGTCTATATCACGACTAGAACTATCAGCCGTCCAAATCATTATATTCTAAAGCATGAAAACTATGATTTGAATGACTGGATAACTTCACTTAACATTCTGTTTAAAAACATTTTGAAAGCTATTTATTTTTCTAGTTGCTGGTCGTTATATTCACTAGGTTTGAATGTAACGATCTAATTTTTGGCATTCGGTTACCAAAAGTGTTTCCTGAATGAAATGAAGATTCGGAAAATTTTTTGTTGGCAATTTTTTCTACTGCATTAGTACACTTTAATTGAATTTTTTGGAAAAAATTTATTGTTTGTTCAAATTTTAAAGGTATTCTCTTGCAAGTGCAGCAAAAGCAAATATACGTAAAGCAAGTGCAAACGTGGGACCTGTTGGTTACCGACCAAATAATAAAATTTTAAGTTATTTGAAAAATTCCTACGACGTTTTTCATTTCATTTATGTTTTAGTCTACAATTGTGTTCGAATTTTATAATCTCCAAAGTTGAAGTTTGCATTATTCATCTGTTTTATTTTTCATATTTTAACATTTCAGGACAAGAATGTTTACATTACTGTTATCGACCATCTACGCATGCAGAACATGTTGCCAGTCATTGTTTTTGTTTTCTCTAGACGAAGGTTTGATTTTCTCATTTTTTATAAGCAAAAAAAAAAGACCCTACTATATCCATCTATTCTTGTTGGAGATGATTAAATTTGTTTAAAAATTTCACAGTAACACTGCAGTATTTTGTTTGCATAAGTACAACTTTGAAAGAAAGTGATCTTGTCACTGTTCTTTTTCATTTAAAATCACTTTATGTCCATTATTAATTTATGAATAATTACTATAAAGATGTGATGATAATGCGTATTTGTTGCGATCAATTGATTTGACTACAGAGAAGGAGAAATCAAGCATACATCATTTCTTTTCAAGGTGTATTGCGCGCTTGAGAGGTTCGGACAAAAATCTACCTCAGGTCACTTTTATAACCTAATTTATTAGGAATATTTCTTCATTTGGCCATTGAATGCGATGCTTCTAGTGTTATTATTTATGCATCCAAAAACTATCTTAGATTCTGTTTTGGACTATTTCGTTTCTGTCTGTTACATATATGCTTCCCTGTTTAAATAATTTTCTATAGCTGCTTTGTTTTAAATAGGTAGTATGGGTGAGGAATCTGAACCGATAAAATAAAGAAAAAGTCTTGGAATGGAGTTGATTTTTCCCTTCCTCTTGATATTGTGATCATATTATTGTTTTGCTGTAACAGTGTTATCTTCGATAGCGTGGTCACACCTGCATCATCATTTATTCGCAAATTATTCTTTCAAATTTATTTCTTGAATTAGATCTTGCAAAAAATTGTCGTTAATATTTTGTTCAACTTCAATATAACTATAAAATTATACCAAAATTTAATTCAATTCCAAAGAAATTTCTTAATTCTTCATAGGTACTACAAATGAAGGAATTATGTAAGCATGGTTTTGCAATACATCACAGCGGTATTTTGCCAATTCTAAAAGAGGTTGTCGAATTGCTCTTCCAGAAAGGACTCGTAAAGGTATTTGCTTTCACAATATAAACGAGTATTTTTAAATTTATTTTCAAGTCATGCATACATACAGTTTTTTTTTTTTCTTTTTTTTTTGAAATGAAATATTGTTGTAAATAGGCAAATTGAAAATTCTTTTCGATGTATAAGAATATTTTTCTAGTTACTAGTTTAATACAAATACTGTAGGTTTTGTTTGCTACTGAAACTTTTGCTATGGGCGTCAATATGCCCGCCCGGACGGTGATTTTTGACTCACTGCAGAAACACGATGGCCGACAGTTGCGTCTGTTGAATCCGGGGGAATATATTCAGGTATTCCACCGTTTTATTTTTACAAATTCTTGCTGTGAAAATTGCAAAAGTTGACGAAGGATATGACATCTGGTTCGCAAAATAACAAGCAGATGAATGATTTACGACTGCTGATGATATGTTTAGAAAAATGAAAATTTCTTTAAAAGTTTCAGTTGATTAATTGAAGTATGGTTATCAGTTTTTTTTTTTTTTGAATCACGTAGTTAATTTCTTGCTCTGTGTAATAATTAATTTTTTTTTCTCAATAAAAAAAATGTTAGGAAGAAAATTTTTAGAGTGATTATCGGGGATGGTTTTTTTAGATGGCTGGTCGAGCGGGGCGACGAGGTCTAGATGCTACTGGGTCCGTAATTGTTTTATGTAAAGGACCTTATGTTCCCGACTATCTAGACCTCGTCAATTGTATGCAGGTAAGATATTCTGACTTTTTCTGTAGTCCTATTATTGTTAGCTATAAATCGTTGAAATAAAATAATTTTTGAAGCGTGAAAAAATGTGATGTGAAAGAGGAAGAGGGAGAGTGGAATGACTGGTACCAACTTTCCTTAACAAAAAAAATTAAAAAAACCCGAAGATTTCTTTTACTATTGATAATATAGTTTTTTTTTTCTTTCTTTTTACTTTGTTATCTGATGTCAATCACTACAGGGCAAACCGACAAAGCTAGAGTCACGGTTTAGAGTAACATACTCAATGCTCCTAAATTTGTTGCGAGTAGAGCATTTGAGTGTCGAGGATGTGCTAAAAAGAAGCTACGTTGAAAGTGCATCACTAAGATTAGCATTGACACAAAAAGCACGCTTAAAACAGGTAAGTAATACATAACATTTGATAGTTATATGTTCTTCTGGTGGAATTTGTTGTTTGTTTTTTTGGTTTTTATTTATTTATTTATTTTTTTTTTATGAAATTTATGGCTAAGTCCATGTGCATCATGAGTATGATTCCAAATATAGGTATTAATAAATTTTGGTACAAAATTTGAAAGTCGGGTTCAGTTTGTTATTTCAAATTTAAGATTTCGTGATGTCTGTTGCATTGTGTCATTGTTTTGTAATACAAACCCACATTGAAACTCTGTTAAGTGTTATCCATTCTGAAAGAGATCTAAAGTTCTAACACTTGCCACTTTAGTTTACTTGCCAAGTTATGATAGCGTCATTTGTTGAATATTTAGTATTTTATTTGGTTAAAAATTTTTTGTTTGAAATCTTTTTTATAGTTTAACCCTGACTTTTAAAGAAGAAATTCATTTGTCTTTTGGTGAATTATCTCATATGTTTTATAAAATTGAGGTTTCAGACAGAAGAACTGTTGTTACTGAAAAAAGATCCTGATTGTACAATATGTTTTCCTACTGAAGGCAATTCAATTGTTGATTATTACGAAAACTTGAGAATATTCATACGGTATCGAGCTGAATTATGGCCTGAATTAATTCGATTTTCGGTTTTGGATAAATTATTATTGCCAGGACGTCTGGTTATTGTTTGTTTGCCAGAAATTGGACGACTTGCTGCTGTGGCAGTTCTTCTTAAGGTTAGGAAATACTTTTCAAGGGCGTTAAATCGCCCGTCCTAGAGCAGCTTTTTTCTAGATTTGTGATTCTCGTTCGAAGATTCTTGATATTGGCGACTTTTTGAGAGTTTTGTGAGAGAAGTTTTATTCGGATGAAATTTTTTTTATTCGTTCTTCTTCATTTCTTTTCCACTTCTGTTAATAGTTTTTTTTTTTTTTTTTTTAAATTGATTATTTGAGCTAACGGTGGATGGGAATTCAAAGAATATGGCTTTACTGCTATCTGCGGTAGACGATCAACAAGTTACAGAGCATGAAAAGCAAAAAAGAGACCGTTTCACAAGAATGCCAGAAGAAGTTAGAGTTGTTATTTGTGCTATTTTCATCTTACTAGTTTTGGGATTTCATGATATTATTGAGATAAATATTCGACACGTGCAATTAAAGCTTTTTTCCAGGAGCAACAGGAAATCTGTGAGACAAGCCTATTGCAGTGTGCAGCATTTTATGGTCTTGAAGGACTACCACCACAAAAATTCTCAGATCAAGTGCGAAGAATAGGCACTGTCGTGGATAGTATACCACTCAATCGTTTGATAGCAGTTTGCCAAAAAGCCATGAAGATTGATCCACTGGCAATCTTAGATGATATGAAAACAAGGAATTACCCCAGAAATCGGTAGGTCTTTTTTTTTTCGTTCCTGTGCTTTTGTAAATTTTATTTTTTTTGCTTAACAAGTAGTACTCAGCCTAAAAAAATGATGCTACTTCTCGATCTCATTTTCTTCTTTTGTTTTCAACTTATCGGTAGTTATATATATAGAATGTTATTTCACTTGGTAGGACTAAATCACCAGATCAAGCTGTCCTGAAATTAATTGGTGAAATTGGTAATATAGCAGCAAATTGGGACAGCACGAAAAAGGGAAATGTAAAATTACCAGGGCAAGATATACAAGTGAACGATGTTGAAATGTTTCAAAAATTGCGTTATTTGAATGATCTCCGCAATTTACTCATAAATGATGCAAATTTTGCTTGTCAACGGTGTTCGCTATTTCAGGAACATGTGAGTTGTTATTCATCCAATTTTAATCTCACAGAAGCACTTGAAATACATACCTGTTATCGCAGGTTTTCACTGTACACTCCACTCCTTCTACCTTAATTTCTTCAATTTTTTCATTTTATTTCATTGTTTTCTTTATAATTTCAGCATAGTATTCTTTAAGTGTATTGTTTGATGTTTTTACAATTAATGGAAGATTACAGTGCAATTTGATTGACGTTTTTTTTTCATCTTTTTGATAAAAGTCACCAAATTATTTCTTGACAAACTTTAGTTCACATATATACATGATAAAAGAAACCTTCAAGGAAAATGTGATGAACTTCGTTTAAAGCTTTCAACTGGTGGTTTACTGCTCTCACAAGATTACAGCGATCGTATCAAGGTAATATTTACATTCTTGATTGTCCAGGTGTATGTTTATTTGTATTCATTTGTTTGCTAGCCTTTCATGTCTTTACTAGTTAACCTCTAAATATTTTCAGCTTTTACGTCGGTTAAGTTACATTGATGATTCAAATTTGGTTTCTCTGAAAGGTCGTGTAGCTTGTGAAATACATCATCAGGTATGATACAGTTCTCATTTTCACTTTCTGTCACTTGGTATGTTTGCATAATATGGTTCAATAGATTACAGCAATGCTTTTTGAATTTATGCAAGTCGATTTCCATTTTATGTTAATTTATTTATGGAAAATTTGGTTTTAGTTGCAATAAATAATTGTTAATCAGCAACGAAATAGGAAATGAAATATGTGGCAAAACTGTATTTTTAGGAATTGTTGATTACGGAATTGATGCTGGACAATAAATTTCATTATCGTTCAACTGCGGAAATAGCAGCTATGCTTTCAGTAACAACATGTCAGCATAGATTAAGGGAGGGCGAATGCAGGAAAGATAAGGAAGGTGAAGCGATACAAACGCCACCAGTATTAGAGGAGGTAGAACTGTCTTGTATTTACTAATATAAATCTGTATGGAATTATATAGGCTAGCATGATTACAAATGTCCAGCTGAGAGAACCCTTCTCTGTTGTTTAATGATTCATAAATTCCTAAAAAGGGGAGAAAGGAAAATATGAAATTTGTAGTATTTTTTGAAAAATATGGTAGTTTATACGTGGCAATTTTTTTCCTAGACCGGAAATGTTCATTTTTTAGTTGAAAGATGACATCATTGAAGTGTGTAACAGAATTGGAAGGATCCAACGAGAATGTGGTGTAAAAGATGTTGACATTTCTGAAGAATTGAGCTTTGGTTTAATGCATGCTGTTTATGAATGGGCCAGTTCCATGGTAAAAGTGCAAAGTTTTTTTATCGATTTCAGTCTGTTTCTTAATGTTGTCATGAAATTTCATTTTTTTAGTCACAAAAAGCTAAAATATAGAAAAATATTAAGTTCTTAAAGAAGGTTTGCGGTGCTAACTACTGAAATATCCATTCGTAAACCCATTTGTTCGTCAGATTGTTGAGAGTTCATTGTGCTTTACCTACAGTTCATTTTTTCTTGTCTCCTTGAAGCTTTTAAGTTTTTTTTTTTTCTTCCATTTTAATGCCATATTATCTTTGCTTCTTGCAAACTACCTCATTAGATTTTCTTCGGATTTGCAATTGACTAGCTGTAATTTAGCGTCATGATTATAAGAATCATCTCTTGTATTATAATTTAAATCAAATTATTTAAATTAAATTTTATATTTTCTAGCCATTTGCTGAGATAATGCAACTCACTGATGCACAAGAAGGTTTGATTGTACGCTGTATACAAAGATTGGATGAATTATGTCACGATATACGAAATGCCGCACGATTAGTTGGTGATCCTACATTGTATGAGAAAATGGACGATACATCGGCAGCTATCAGAAGAGATATCGTTTTTGCTGCTAGTCTTTATACTGTTCTCGATTAGTATATTAGTGATGTTCATTCATTCCATATTCAAAGTGGGTACAGCAAGAAATTCTTTTAAGTTTATTGCATTTTTTTTTTTCTGTATTCATGACAGAAATGGTAGAACTCGTCGTGCTTTTTTGGATAACGTAAGTACTTCGAAATGTACTTGCTGTGACTAATTAACAAGAACTAATCGATAAAAATTAAAAAGAATGCCTTATCAATTTCTTTTTATTGCATTATGGAGAACATATTTGTATCATCGTTGTGATATCATTTCAATGGTGTTATTTTGTTATCATTTCTTTTTATGCTGTTTTTGTATTGCTCATCATTGTTTCTGGTTTAATCATAGTATCTTATAGCTGAGATCTGGGAATTCGTAATAAACATTAATTGTTGTGACTAACGATGTGCAATAGTATGAGTAGATGTTCGGTTTTAATATCATACATCGAAGTATTATTAAAATTTTCTTGCATTCTGTCTTTTTCTTTAGTTAGCTTCATTGAGACTTTGTTATTTCTATCATTTTTTTTGTATACATTTTTGTATGTTTTGCAATTTTACTGTAAATAATTTCGTCTCACATTCCATTTTAAAGCTCCTTATTGCCCAATTAAAATATCTGTAGAGAATTTATAAAAAGTTTTGGCTCAATTGAAGCATAATTACATTCTTAAATGCAAGAAATAAATTAAATCTAAGAAATACATAGTAAAGTAAAAATTATAGTAGTGGAATTGTTGAAAGGAGTAGCAAGATGACTTGCAGTTTTAAAGAGAGTATAAGAGTAAGAGTAGGTCAAATTCTTAGAATTGGCAAGTCTGCTTGTTCAATTTGATACTGGAAACAACGTAAACATGTTAGCCTTTGTTTCCTTTATGGAATTCGTCTTTTTCGTATTTCATCTCTCAGAAATTTTAATTAAATTTAGATATGACAACAATAAAAAAATTTAGATACGACAACAACTGTCCGATTATTATGTACTTATTAATTATTATTACTGCCTGTTATTACCTATTTCACTTATTCATTCTACTTATTTGGAAAAAAAAATGAAATGATACAGAATACTTCAGTTTCAAAAATTTCATTAACTTCATTTGCTTTAAATTTCTTCAAAATTGTGTCTGTTTTCCTGATTAGAACTGATAATGCATTTAGAATTTTTAAAAAAGTGACATCACAAAAAGGAGGCATATTAATTGATATAAAAGAAAATTGAAGTGTGTTTATATCAAATTTCATAAAAAATACATGCAATCTTACTAAACAGAATAGGAACAGGAATGATAATGGTAATTATTGATTATTATAATCAGTGGTTTTTTAAAATGATAACAGTGATATTAAATGATCATATCTGCAACATTATTCATCATTATTGATGCTCTAATTGTAATTATAGCAATAATATAACTAGTATTCTACCAGTATTACTTATGTAATCAGTAGTTAACAGTATGAATACAATATCACTATTTGATAGAAAAGGCATTCATCCTGTAGTCATCTTGAATTTACAAAAGTTAAATTTTAATTTCATGAAAGCAAAAGAAAAATAATAGCCACAGTAAAATAAACAGAGCGGAAATGTGTAGAGATTGTAATAATAAGTAGCAGTAAATAATAACAGTAGTGGAGTGGATACTTGAGTGGTAGCAGCAGTTAAAGTTAAGTAAGTGCTTAGATGAGTGGATAATTGATATAAAATATTTTCATTTCAAAAATGTGGATAATTGATATATAAAATATATTTTCATTTCATTTTTTTCTTTTTGTTTTAGCCTATTTTAAAAGTATAAAATATAAAAATAGTATAAAATACTTTTAAAATAGGTTAAAACAAAAAGAAAAAAAGAAAGGAAGGAAAAAAAAAAGAAATCAAGATTTAAAGCTGTATATCTTCACGTAATTAGGCTTACGTGGTTTCACTTATTTTTGATCATTTAGTATTTTTGATATTTGCAAAAAGACAAAAAAATAGGAAAACATCATAAAATACGTGAAAAAAAAATAGGCAGTAAAATTGATTAATCTATAATCATATCATATATTAATTGAGGTACTATCATTTCTGGCTTTATAGCTATCGGATAATTCATTCCTCATCTCAGAAATATTTGAGGATTGTTCTTTATACATCTTGATTATCAATTAACTGAACTCGTTTCCATGACTGAAAAAGAAAAACATAAACTTTTCTTATTAATTAATTAATTAAATTAACTCATTAAAGAAATATTAATCCAATTAAATGAAATTCGGAATACTTCTCAAAAATAAAATAAAACTTCCTATCAAATGCAATACTTCATTCCTTTAGTTCTTGCCGCTTCTTTTACTCTGATAAAAATTGAAATAATAATTTAGACCATTAATTAATAATTATAGAATTCAATAAAAAATGTGACCTTATTTGGCCTATGCCGCATTCGATGCACACCACATCGAAGATCAAACGTTGAGCCAAACTGTAGTTAATGAAATGTTAACTATTATATTTCAAATTTCTTTTTATCATCTTATACTAGGAATAGTTCAATAAATTACACTAATGAATACTTCAGTAAATTATCATTCATTTACGGGAACCGTACGGCAATATCACGTAAAGATAGTACTACGTAAAAAAATGATCAAACTTATTATTTATATCAGTTGAGAGTAGAAAACTAATGTGATACATAAGAAAAAATATAATTCATATAAATTCAGCCAAGAACTTACTTTTTCAAAAACTGTTCGATCGTCATTTTTTGTTATCCAAATGAAATTAATAATAGCTGATAAAATAAATAGTGCTATAACAAAACATACAGATACAGCTAATGGTCCAAGATAATCGATAAATTCAAATTCTTGTTTCGGCATTTAAATTTTCCTCCCTTTATCAAATACAAATAAATAAAACGACAAAATTTAAATGCATTGATTCATTTTTTAAATCGATACAACAATAATTTTGACCATTAAGATAATTCACATGACAAAAAGACTGGCAGACGCATTTCGATGAACATGAACATCCGGTGATATTTATCATTCAATACACCGGAGCAATACAAGTACATCTCTCGAAGAATGAAACTGATGTGACAGTTGTGATAGAGAAGCAAAAAAAATTCATCGTCGCGAACGAAATGTGATAAAAATAGATGTGAAGTGGAGCACCTTCGATTGTTGACCTTTGATTTTTCCCAGATTGAAACACAAACATTAGAAAATGCGCTGCTCACTTCTCTGTTAATGTGTTGATCATTTCAAAAAAAACGCAGAAATCATTAGTTAAATGAGAGTTTAAACAAGTTGAAGTGAAATTTTTTTTTTTGATGAAAATAATAAAAAGCAAACGATGCATTCGTCATTTTTATCATTTTTTATATCCAATGTTTAACCAATCATTATTTGATTATTTTTCTTCACAACATAATATGTTAAAGTAAGGTTTATTTCTTTTTCCTGGTATTGGAGTTTGCCTTTTTTTCGTTCTTTTTTTGTCCTTTAAAGCTTTTTTTTTATTTAGTGATAAGATTTGAAATTTGAAATCTCAACAACCAAGAAATTTTAAAAAAAAGATTAAGAGTGATATTGTAGATTTTTTAATTATTTTATAGGTATGAAATTATATTGTTGTCAAATATTTGCGCACAATTATCCGGAATATCAACCCATAGAATATACATCTGATCGGAACGTTTAATCATTTAATCGTTGAGTATTTTAAAAGATAAACGATTAAAGTAATTGACCTCCTGTCACAATAAAATGCCTATATTTTTATATAATTTGATTTAATTCAATTATAATATCATCCAAATTTTTCATCAAATAAAACTAATAGAAAAATAAATAAAGAATTTTTGCAATCATTTTTTTTTTCTACTGTTATTTTTAAAATGGTTAAATTAGAATAGGATTCAAATTAAGACGAAGAAATGCAAATTTTCCTTTATGTAAATAATTAAAGGCGAAAAAGAAAGAATTATTTGCAAACATTTTATACATCATTTATGATGAGAAAGATTTGAAATGATGAAAATGTCGGGAAAAATTTGTGGGAAATAATTTTTCGTTTATTAGCCTTTTTTAAAGTTTAAAATTTTAAAAGAAAACTTGAAAAAGATTTGAAGAATCATTTCTATCCAACTTTTTTTCTTTGTTACAACCATATGATCTACATGTTCACAACGATGATATATGGTTGGATGGAAACTGAAAACATAAAAATCATACCGGAAATGCTACAAATATATTTTCTACTTTTTTAGTATCTTTTATATATAGTATCTACAATTAATATTAAACATAATCATGCTAATTCGAAATGTTTTAAAGAACTATGAATGAACAACGAATAACCTAATTTAATTAATGCCTGAATGGCTAGCTCTAGCTAACTAATCCAATAAAGTAACTATTTGAAATTTCTATATCACTTGATACTTGTGTAAATAATTAATTTTATGTTGGACAAAAACTTTAAATTAATTGGTAGCAAATAAAAGAAATAAGAATTGCAGGTGAGTAAACAATAGCAGGAAAACTGAATGCAGCAGCAGTTGACGAAAGCAGTATCACCCCAATTTAGATTGCCATACCCTCCTCCTTTAATGGAATACAAACCTGTTCTATGATCTAGTCGATCAATGCCAGCCCCCACTTAAATCGATTCCCTCAAACTCTACCATGATTACACTTCTGGGGACACTCATAAAAGCCTCTATCCTCTTTTTTCCCTTGCTTTCTGTGTTGCTGCATTTATAGCACTTTTCTTATGTCACCAAATTTTGTTTATTTTTAATGTCCTCCCACAAGAATTGCTTATGTCCTAGTGTTTGTTACCTGGGAGAATGAATTGTTTAAACTACAAATGCCATTTCTCATAATCAAATGGATGTGATAATGAGTACATCGGTTTGCATATTACCTTAACAACCAATATGCACCAATTTCATACATCTATAATATACTTAAACAAAAGAAATCCACAGGTATAATTATTTGATTGAAAAGCATATTCCTTTGCAAAATTGTAAAAATTAAACATAAGCTGTGATAAAAAAACCGACAACTGTTTCAAATCCTAAGTTCATTTTTGAACTTGAAAGACATTAAGTTGCAAGTATTTCAACATAAAATAAAAATTTGAAGTAAAAACCTAGCAAAATTAACAAAAACGATTTGTTACTTATCGTTGTTTTTTTTTTTTCCAAATTCTAATATTCCACTGTCTCTCTCTCTCTCTCAGTGAAAAGTTCTCTTTAATATACAAATTCTTTATGGCGACTTCGATAATATTCCGATAATTCAACTGTGGCAAGCTGATAAAGCTTTAAAATCGAAAATGCACTTAATTCTTATCAATTTATCGTCAACTACAGATAATTGAAAATCAGAATTATTTCATTATTACTATTTGTGTATTGCTGGTCTTCAATGGTGTCCATGCTTGGACAATCTATTTATCGCTTTTGTCTCAAAAGTTATCGATTTGTTTATATAATCACTTCCGTCTTGATGGCGATTATCACAATTCAACGTTGTTCATTTAGGTGATAAGCACAGAAACCATTTTCTCTAAAGAAAATCACTTTATACCTTCGTTTAGCTACTCGAAAATTAATCCACTTTTTTGACAGAGAAACTACAAATACCCGGAAATACCAAATCAAAAATGACCTGTATCACTAAAAGCATGCTTGACAAAATCTAGGACAGTTCTCTGAGAAGTAGCAAAGAAACGATTCTGTACCCAACTAAGTTTTTTGAGTGGAAATATACTTTAGATTAACAAACATATGGAACAAATAGAAATATACATTAATAAAATATTGGTAGTGACAAACAACTTCACTCAATATCTGAGATGAATTACCTTTCTTATACTTTGACCGATTGTTCTGACTCTTCAAATTCCAACATCCTAATCTTTTTCAGTGCAAAGTCATCTTTAACATCCAAATCATTCTTGGCCATTTCGACAACACTAAGATAATCCAACTGCGGCAACATGCTTATACCTTTAAAACTGAAAGAATGATGTATTTGATTAAATAAATAAATTAAATTGTAACTAATACAGAACATAAATTTCAAGAACATTGATGTTTGCAACTTTCCAAATATATCTAAACGTGATAAACTATAAGTTAATCAGATTGAGAATTGCGATAATATTAGCGTTTCATTCATAGTGATAAAGAACAATTTTCACTAAAGGACAAATTTTTTAAAGCTACGAAACTAACCTGGTAATAGGATTATTAAGAAGTCGTAAATGAGTTAAACGACGAAAAGATTCAAAAATGCACAAATTGGTGAATTTATTTCCAGTAAGATCCAAGTGTGTAATAAATGATGACAAATATTTTAAATGGTCAATGCTAAAATACAGGATATACTGTTACATGAAATATAGAAAAAACTTTTTTTTTTTTTTTTTTTCATAATTACTCCATCCCTACGAATTCCGACTGCATCATTCTCCATTCATGATGGAATAAATAGAGAATCTAACAAAAAGGAAAGTTTTTGAGTGAAACCAAAAAACTAGGAATAAATGAAAAGTTGAAAGCAATCCCCAAAATAGAATGTTAACGTAGTACACAACTTTCCTAAAATCATAATTGATAAAGCCTACATCTCATTTAGTTTACAACAATTCATTCATTATAATTGATCTGAAAAATAATCTAGTTATAGAAACTACTTAAACATCATCCATTTAGCTAATTAAAGGCTCACCAATTGAAAACTGCTTAATAAACGATGGGAAATTGTTTATTTATATTGTTGAATTAAAGAAAAAAGAAAAAAACCTTTTCAGACCCAAATTGTCCAGTTTCAGTTTTCCCACAAAATGACCATCAACTTGTCTGAATAAAATATCTATCCTATGCACATTATCTATCTTCTGGCGTAATTTTTCGTTAATTCGTAAATTCATAGCCATCTCTTCATACATTTCGCATCGCTGTGGATCAACATTTGTAGCTAATTCCTCCAAATTCGTCAAAATCGTTGAAAACATTCTAATCGGTTCTAATTCCAAAATCGCAAAGGTATAGGTAAGAAGTGGCCACTGCAAGAGATCTAGTTAAATATATTAGCTTTAACAGCAAATCAACTCAACAAAAAATTTCAAAATAATTATGCCATCAACTTAATCTGAGATACATTAGTGTAACCGTCACATAGTATAACATGAACGAATTCTGTTGTATAACAAAGTTCTAAAACGAATGAATAACTATCAAAGTGCTTCTTGTGCCACTAAAAAATTTAAAAAGTGCATGAACAGTTGCAGTAACTAAAATTTGAAGCAAATTTTAGTCCAGGACAGACTATTTTCAAAATGATAATCAAATCTGAAAGCTTTCAAAAAAATCGAATTATTATAATACCTTCAAAATCTCCTGTTTCTGTTCAACTTTCAGTTCACTTAACAGTTCCTGACAATTATCCATCAGTTTTTCGATTATAATTCTTCGTGCTTCATTAACTGGTTTGCATTTGATGTGGTAGATGTGATAAATTTCATCAAAATTAACATATCCACTTTCCATATCGATGATTTCATACGGTTCACCAAGTGAAGGACGTAAATGACATTCGGCTATTTCGTCATCGATTTCAAATCGATATGAATTACTAGCACGGAATGTTCTATTATCTACCATTTCGGAATTCTAAATCCGAGAAATGTACGGAGAAAAAAGCCGTAAATTAAGGCACAGAAAGAAATTTTGATAAATATTTCAAACATGAAACCAAAACTGAAAGCTCAAAAATGAATACTTGCAGATAATGCACCTTAAAGGGAGTCCATTGGTCACCATTTTTCATTTTTACAACCACAAAATCAGATATCCTTGTCAGCTTTATAGCACGATCAAATGTGACTGATAAATATGAAACTGCGGTATGACTGCATTTGCAAGGAGTGAAATCGAACATCAATCCCAATAAATGGACACTATCAATGTCATCTTGAAAATATAACTTTACTTCTTACAAGTAGCTTCAGTGATTTATATACATTCCTTGAAATTGAACCTGCTTCCCATTTTGTCCCAATATATGAAAACAAATGCGCATAAGAGTACCTCATTTAATCATATATATATATATTAAAAGACATTTGGTAAGAAAACAACTAAAATTACTAACATTTTTTTCTCTTTTCATCAGACAGTAAAAGCCATTCAGCAAATATCCAAGCACTTTGATCTTCGGGATCCGTAAAAAATGCATTTTCCAGTTTCTTAAAATAATGAAGATTAACAAAGGTGATAAAACTCAATGATATTTCCTAAAAAAAAAAAAAAAAAAAAAAAAAAGACAAAAAAGTGTAAATTGTTATATACCAATGAAAAAAAAAAAGAAGAGAAAATCCATGAGTTGAACAATTTGAGTTTAGTTTAGAGTACAAAATTAATGCATTATTCAGCAAAGGATTTTGGGGAATAGAAAAAAAATATATTCACAGGCGGTTTAAGTGACTATCTCAAGCAATCAACCTTATGCGATTCAGAGAAACTATTAAGTAACTAGAATTTTTCGAATCATTAGTGCGAGGTGTTCGCCGCCATTGAAAAGTTATACAATCAGTGAGAAATGCCAGTTACATAAAACATTATCCTAACAAAAACCTTTAACTCCTCATTTCAATCTATATTATAGAAATCAATAAAAACTTTCAGAACGAGATCAATCCTAAGGAAAAAGAAAAAAACCATACTCGGTATTCATTGTATAATGTTGGTTTATCTACAGTTAGCTGATTTTCAGTATCAGGGAATAATGATGGCAGAAGAGACGAACGATAGTGCCATGAGGAATAATTACTGAAGTTTGCATTAATCAATCTATCTGAAAACCTAAAAAGTTAGAATTAATTTCTCTAATTTTAATTCTCACATTCTCTATAATATTACCAGTATAGTATTTAGGAATTAATTTTTCATTTTTTCTTTATTTTCACAGAAGAATATTAAATAGTTCTGAACGAATACTGAAATTTGAAAAAGCCTACAAAGAAATATCAAATAATCTGTGTACCAAAACTAACAATTTAAAAAATCACAATAATCGTTCAACAAACCCACAGTAGATGTACTAATAGCCAACAGTTAGTTTAAATTCTATTCGTAATTATTACTTGAGTTCTTCTTCAGCTGAATGAGAACCAAATCGAGCTATTTCTCGCCGGTAGTCCCAGCAATGAAAATTTCTATCATCCAGCTTCAAAAATTTTTCGCAAGCTGCTAATTCCTCCGCTATATCTGGATTTGACAATTGTTTGAAACACCAAAGACGATAAAACCAGGCACAATATGATTTGGAATTTGCCTTAATGCAGAATATATGAAAATACCCCAGAGTTGATGGTAATGAAGACTAAAACATTTCATAATATTTTCTCTTTGTAGTTTATGTAAAGCTTCGTCTACAACATTTTATTTTAATCTTATAGATTTACAAAACAGCTGACTGCATTTTCAGTTTTATTCTTCAAAACGGATAGGATGTCAGGGATGAATGAACAATTCAGACCAAATCTATGAAGCAAAAGCAGAAGAGGCAAAATTCTTTGTACATGCAGCACTGTATTAAAAAGAAAAAAAAATGATATCCTATAAATTTTTAATACGAAAAATCTGTTTTCTCTAAACGGAAAACGTTATGTTTGAACTAACTGAAAAATAAACATTAAATAAAGCAAATACCTTTAAGCTAGCTTCTGTTAATAACAGTTCTGAGAGAAATATGCGATCCTTTCTCTTTGTATTTTCTTCGTCGCTTTCTTCTGATAATTTCTGGAAAAAAAGTAACCACAGATAACGAATCATTTCATGTATTATTCTGAAATCTTCCTTTATTACGTATTTTATTATTATTTTCTATATGAATTGTCAGTTACATGCTGGCTTATACTGACTATCGCTTACTGAGGAAAGTTACATTCTGAAGATTTCAGGAAAATTTTTTAAGGATATTGTAACCAAAAATTCTGAAAATCTTAGAAAAAAAAATCAAAAAAAAAAAAAAAAACATTGTTTTTTATATGCAACTTGTACATATAAAATTTCTCACACTTCACATCACCTGTATTTTCACATGTTAAAAAATTAATTAGGATGGATATCTGCAACACTCGCATCAGTTACAACTTTCAGTTACCCAAATCATCTCTAATTTAGTTAGGTTACGGTAAGCCAAAGCTAAATGAATAAAATTCTTCAACCATTGACAATAAATTGATCACTTGGCGACGAATATTCCAAAATGTGTAAATATCTGGGTTTTTTTCAAGCAAAGAAGCTGTTAGTAATAACATTTCCTCGTCCAGTTCACCTATAACGTTTCAGATTTGAACTTATAAAAAAACAAGTTTGGAAATTTTAATTAAAAACTGCATTTCCTCATCAAATTTATGCGCGATATTAATACACGATATTAAAAATATATTAAATTAAATATCTAAAGCGATATTAAAAATTAAATATCTAAAGATTTTCAAACATTAAGATGAAAACTCCGACTGTCCCAACTTAAAAATAATCGAAAACAGTCAAGGCAAGCAGTATTACTATCCTTATCTATTTATCAGAATTGAATTATTTGTTAATGGTTATTTGTCTGATTATCCTCTATTTGATATTGAAATACAAAAAATATTTGATATTTGAACACAAAAAAAAAAAACTTTTTTGCACACAGTTTACAGTTCTAACGCTATGACATTAATAACATTGTTGACTTTGTGAAGTTTTATCTCAGAATTAATTCCATCTTAACAAATTAAGAATGTACAAAACATCAATAACTTCTAGAAAATTAAACAGATAGAGGATACATAAGCAAATTATTTAAATAACGCGAAATATTACCTTTCATCCGTTTCTCAAAGATGCGATCCCTCAATTTACAGTAAATTTTCAATTTCTCAGTCCTTTCTTTTTCTTTCTTCAATTTTTGCTCTTCAGTTGTTGCTACTTTTTTCACAAAATGCATCTTTCCTTTTAATCTGAAACTGAGAGAAAAAAGAAGCAAATATATTGTTACATGTAATTCAAATAAATAAAGTAAATAATAAAAATAATGTTTTCAGATAGTTACAGTATTTGACAAAATGAATTGATGTAATTCAACTTGAAACAATTTCAAATATTTCATCAATTCTAAAAACTTCTGCAGCTTTTTTTTTAAAAAGAAACATCAATATTGTATAGTGACTTTATACTAGTTGAAATTAAAAAATCATATATTTCAACTCCGCAAATTTCAAATATTCTTTCAACCAAATATTCTCCAAATGTCGAACACTACCTTTCAACAACTCCCTCAATTTCTTAACCTGTGCTCACAACTTCAATAACTGAACCATTTCTTCACCCCTAACACTTACTTCCATTACTCTTCCTCCCTACTACAATACTTGCCGCTCCGATTTTTGTGAAGTTTCTCAATCTCTGCCACAACACTATCTCTCACCTTATAGTAATCTCTAGCATCTCTTCGATTAATACAATGTAAACCGATCTTTCGTTCCCCTACCCATGTTTCTACCTCTCACCAACCCCTAACCATTCCACAAAACAGCTCATCCATATCACTCAGCAACCAGCCTAACCCAGTTCAGCCCAGTCTAACCCAGTCATCTGTTCCTTGCTAACTAGTTCAGCTCGGCCTCACTATGAAATTTAATTGCCAAATGCTCATTACACTGTACGCTGTGAAAAAATTGTCTCCATGCCATTAAATTATTACCCAAAGAAAAAAAACTAATTGTTGGAAAAAAATGTAATTATCCTTACGTTGCTACTCATTTTAACAATGAAAATATTATATGCATAATTATCTCTTATCAAGTATGTAAGTGAAAAAATTTCACAAACTTTTTTTTTATCATCGTTAAATTTCAAAAAATTTAACTTAAACACTAATTTAAATTGATAATTAAAAAAAGTTTTCCATCACTATCTGAATCATTTAACTTGATTGTTCTGCTATTTTAATCAAAAATTATACAAACAAAAAGGGAATGAAAGATTAATGAATCATTTTTATAAAGTCTCAATATTTTCAATAAATCAATTTAAACATTTAATCACTCAAATGATTAAAAGAAGATATCTGTTTTATGTCTACTAATAGAAATTATTTATTTCCAAAAGAATAATCCGCAAAATTTTTATAGCTTTCTAATTACTCTCTAATTATTGATTCATAGCTTAATGAATAAATGAAAATAAATTTAGTGGGAATTTTTTTTTATCTAAATGGGCTTATAACTTTTTACAATTAAACTATCAATTAGTTTTTATCATAAAATATCACCAGAGAAAATAAGGTACTGGCAAGATAAGTCATAGGAGACATTATCATTGAAATGTTGAAAGAATTGTATGAATGAAGTGGAATATATAATTTTTTATTTTATAATCACAAAATGAACAGTATTACCAAAACAATTCAAAATTTAATTAATCTGTTAAAGTTTATCAATGATTAATTTATATTCAATTGAAATTTAACCTCATTTTTTTAAATAGATTTCAAACATCGATCATTATTATGAATGTTTATTACTAGGGAGTCATTTAAAAAAACTGATTCATGTTTGTACAGCTTGAGTATAGATATATCGATGATTTGGTATGAATAATGCTAAATTTGAAATCACCACTTCATAATTTGTACGCTTTTTTCGAAACTTTCTTTCTTGTTATCAAATTAGGAAATGAAAAATTTAATTTACCAAAATTTTGTTTCCCCTAAAAAAGTTCGCAATATTTTTCCCCAGTGTTAAAAATTCTCGCAGTCTAATAGATTATTATCAGTGTTGAAATTCGAACAGTTGAAAAAATTAACATTTGTTCACATATTTTGTAAGTGATAACAAATCTATTGCATAAAGGCTCAGGTTTAAACTTTAAATTATCGATTTAGACTTAAATTTGTCCATTTCAAATACATTTAATCACTTGTTTTATAGCCACATTGGAGTAAGAAAATTAAAAAAAAATTTTCGGTACTTATGGTAAGTATTTTTTATCATATTACACACATATCATTTTAATAAAAATTACATAATTAACTTGTTCATTTTTTCTGCTAAAATATCATTGTATTTTATCTTATCAAATCAATAAATCAATGATAAAATGTCACGTAAATATTTTATAGTGTAATATATAATCAGCATCGAAAATAATTTGATTTTTTATTCTTATTAGGCGAATTAGTTTTTTTTTTTTTTTTCTTGCGATAATACCTTAAAATTTTCAAGCTTTAATCAAATAAATCACAATGTTTATAAAATTATATTGATTTATACATTAGGTTACTATTGATTCGATCGTTGGCAAATTTTGTTTCGCGAAATTTTCAAATGAATTAATAGTTATGGAATAAATAAATCAAAATTGAAATAAGCAAAACATTATTGAACGAAAAATTATGAGAAACAATTTGCAATTAGATTATAAAATGGAAAATAATTCTTTCCCGCGTTTTTTCTCCCTAACAAAAAAAAAGGAATACATTTATTTCAGTTCGTTTCATTTTATCCATTATTTATCATTTTTTTAACATCACAGCAATGACAAAAAGATAAAAACTATACTAATCAATTGATTTCATTTTATCCTATCATATCTTATCTTCTTTTTTCTTTTTTTCAACTTCTCTCTTTTATCATCACCTAGACAGACATCTGTTTAAAACGAATGGAACTTGAAACCTTGGAATTTTTTAACCAATCAGTTAATTTACTAAAGCACATAAATCTATAAAAATTATTGCAGCTACATCATTTGCTCATTATCTTAAGAAAAAGAAAGAGAAAAGACAAAGAGAAAGAGAGAGAGAGAGGGAGAGGGAGAGAATCACCTTTTCTATACTTTTTCTTTTAACATTATCAAAGTGCATATAGCTATAATTTTTGTTGCAAATTTTTGAATATCAATTTTTGATATTTCATTGTTTGTTTTATTTTTATATAGCACAAATGCAATATCCTAGGACAAAATTCCAGTATATTTTAATAAGCCTTAGGCTATTAAAATAAAACATTTACTGCTTGATTGGAATGAACTGTTCCGTATGATTCTATTTAATAGCCTAAGAAATTTTCTTTTTTTTTTTTTTTAATGAAAATTCTATCATTCATACCAAATTATTTAATGATTCAATTCCAGGAAATGATTGCATTTTAGCAAATTGCAGAGGAATCGAATAACACATTTGTTTTCTTCTCATTACGAGATTTAATTAGGAAAATTTTAGCTTTTTAGTTTGTTCCAATATTATCAATAACAAGGTAATCCTATATCATAACTTTTACCATAATTTTATATTTATTTGATCATCACAATTGATTAAAATAATGATTCAAGCCACTCCTGTTGTTTGGACAAACTTTTAATTTTACCAGTCTCAAATTGTCTTATCATGACTTAAATTTTGAATAAGCTGTAGATATAAATCAGTTGCAAGATTTTTTTTGAAAGATTGGATGTTTTTAAGGTGATAAACGTAGAATAAGATGTTAAGAAGAGATTTTAAAGTTTTTTTTTTTTTTTTTTTTTAATTTGAATTTACAAATATCGCTATGCCTTAAATATCATAACACCAAATTATAATTTCGTGATGTTTACTTTTTTATTTCATTATACTTAAATGTAGGATTATTTTTGCTTTTATAACTTCTCTCACCATCTTTTTTTTTTTTTTTTTTGTACGAAATTTTGAGTGTCATTAGAATTTACAAATAAATTTAAAATTGATGGGAACAATTTCTCATTATTACACAAACAAAATTTCGATTAAATAATGGCAATTCCATTTGCTTCTTTTATCTCTTCCTTTAGAAAAAATAATTTGAAAAAAAAGGTGAGACAAATTTATTTGTGTCACTTACCAAAATATCCAAATTATTTGATTATGTTATTATTTTATCTTCAAATTTAAACACACGTTTCATTTTTTTTTTATTTCTTATTTACTAACAAAGTTTGATTACTGTGCAATAAGAAATAAATGAAAAATTTATCGCAAAGATTTTTTAAAGAAATATTTTTCATTTAGAAAGCAACCAAAATTTTTACCTTCAATCTAATTTTTTGTTGACTTTTGAAATTTATTGCCAATCAATGAATTAAAATTAAAGCATTATAAATCATTTACATAAACGCTTTCAAAATAATTATTATTCTTGCTACCTACGCTTTCAATTATCCCTATTGACTATCATTTTTTATCAAATAAGTGACATTTATCAAACAATTATTTTCGTATATATAAAAAAAGAATTATCTAACACGTGTTAATAATAATTTTGGTATGAAATACTTGTAATTTTTGATACCAAGCTTAAAGTTTCAGCAACAACTGTCTGCTTAAAATTTTTTCCTTTTTTTATAAGTTGGGCATCATCTAAGTGAATTGCAATTAGTTTAACTTATCTTTTCTATTATTTCAATCTGCTAATATGAAAAATATAATTTAAAAAAAGAGGATTCACAACTCTAAATGATTATATATAAACATAAAGAGATATCACATATTTTCATAATGTTTTTTTAGGAGTTCGCGCGACTTCATCTCACGTGAATAACCCAACAAATAATCAGAATATGTCTGTATTTTCCGAAACAAGATTTCTTTTTTTTCTATTTCTTCATACTAGAATGGAACATATTCAGTTTCACCCGGATTTTATTTTTTATCCGGTTTTTTCCATTTTTTTATTAAGTTCAATTCAGTTACATTTGGTTCAATTTCATTTATTAAGTTTTAAATATGCTAAGGATTAATTCTGAACAAGAAAAATGGATATAATTAGCATTTTTTTTTTTTTAAATCGTTTTTAAAACTTAAAATTTGATGAAAGTGATTAATTACTGACAAAATTTTTAAGAAAATACAGTATTGCAATAAATTCTGAAAAAATTTTTTGAAAAAGAAATAATAAGTGCAGTATGAATGAATTACGTGGAATTTTTAAATGA